CTAGCAATAATAACTAATATATACATATATAGCATTTATCACTTCGCGACAGGTGTTATTCTAAGTGCTTTATATATATTAAGTCATTTATTTATTTTTAATGTGTTTTTATTAAATTTTCAGAGAGAGAGGAAGGAAGAGAGAGATAGAAACATTGATGTCAGAGAGAAACACTGACCTCCTGCATGCCCCCTACTGGGGATCTAGCCTGAAACCCGGGCATGTGCCCTGACCGGGAATCAAACTGAGACCTCTCAGTCCATGGGACGATGCTCAATCCACTGAGCCACACTGGTCAGGCTATATTAACTTATTTAATCATCATAGCAATCCAATGAGTTAGATACCCTAGTTATCCCTGGTTTACTTTGAGTAGACTAAGGCACAGGAAGATTATGTGACTTAAAAAGAGGTCACACAGCTAGTAAGCCAAGAAGTCAGAATTTGAACCCATGTAGTCTAGCTTTAGAGTTTTCACTCTTAAAGGATAGTGCTCTTAACTATTCTACAATTCTACCATTAGTTAGAATTTATATCCATCTCTCTTTTTTTATCCTTTATTGGTTTTAGAGATAAAGGAAGTGACAGGGAGAGATAGAAACGTCAATGAGAGCCCTGGCCAGTTTGGCTCAGCTGTTGGAGCGTCAGCCTGCGGACCAGAGAGTGCCGGGTTCAGTACCCGCTAAGGGCACGTACCTCGGTTGCAATTTGTCCCCAGCCCTGGGTGGGGTCGTGTGGGTGGCAACCACTCCATGTGTCTCTCGTGGATGTTTTTTTCTCTCTCTCCCTCTCTCTCCCTCTCCTGCTCTATCTGAAGATAAATGCAAAAAAAAAAGAGAAACATCGATGAGAAAGTACACCGATTGGCCACCTCCTGCATGCCCCATACTGGGGTTCGAGCCCACGACCTGGGCATGTGTTCTGAGTGGAAATTGAACCGGCGACCTCTTGGTGCATGGGTCGACACTCAACCACTGAGCTACACCGGCCGGACTATATTCATCTCTTAAAAACAAGAACTCTTGCCCTGGCCAGTTTGTCTCAGCGGTTAGAGCATCGGCCTGCGGTTCAGAGAGACCCAGGTTCCGTTCCTGCTAAGGGCATGTACCTCAGTTGCAGTTTGTCCCCGACCCTGGTTGGGTTGTGCAGTGGTAGCCACTTGATGTGGCCCTTTCACGTTGATGTTTCTCTCTCTTTCTCTCCCTCCTACTCTATCTAAACAAAAAATGGAAAAATGTCCTCAGCTGAGGATAAAAAAAAAAAAAAAACAAGAACTCTTTTCTTTCCTGTCTCTCCCCTCATCTCCCATGTTTATATTACCTGGAATTTTAGTTTTATTGTAATTTTTTAAATTTATGATCAAAACTTAGACTTTTCAAAAATTTTACTACTTTTTCCCCCTCACCATTTCTTACTGGAACCTGCTCCTTCCTCCTAAATCTATTTTTTTTTTTCTTGCTGGATCACATATTCTAATAATCCTTTCAGAAAGGGTATGTGTGTGATAAATTTTCTGAAATATTTTGTTTTCATATGGATTATGTTGGCTGGATATAGAAATCTAGGTTCAAAGTTATTTCTCATCATCTCTTTGAAGAACTTCTCCATTGTATTACATCTTCTCTAGGATCTTGCAGGATTTTCTCCTTATCCTTTAGGATTTTATCTTAAACTTAGAAATTTTATTTCAAGGCTCCGTGTGTGTGTGTGTGTGTGTGTGTGTGTGTGCCTGTGTGAGTTAATCATGCTCAAGAACTTAGTGGCTCTTTTCAATTTGAAGATTCAAGTCTTTTTTCAACTATTTTTTTTAACTTATCTTTATTGTTGTATGTATTATAGATCCCCCCCCCCGCTTTTTCCCCAATTGACCCCTTCCTCCCAATCCCAACCCCCTCCTGCCTTCCTCACACTATTGTTTGTGTCCACTGGTTATGCATATATGCATAGAAGTTCTTTGGTTCATCTCATCCTGTCCTCCCTCCCCCCTTCCCTTTGAGGTTCATAAGTCTAACAACCAATTCGTACTTCTTAATTCCTTCATCTTCATCACCCATCCCCCCAGGCCCCTCTCATTTGGCAAGCAACAGAAAGCTCTCTGTATCTATGAGTCTGTTTCTGTTCTGCTTGCTCATTTTGTTTGTAGATTCAATTGTTGATAGATATGTATTTATTGCTATTTTATTGTTCATATTTTTGTTCTCCTTCAAGAAGACCTTTCAACATTTCATATAATAATGGTTTGGTAGTGATGAACTCCTTTAGCTTTTTCTTGTCTGGGAAACTCTTCATATGTCCATCGACTCTAAATGATAGCTTTGCAGGATAGAGCAATCTTGGTTGCAGGTTGTTGCTTTTCATCACTTTGAATATCTCTTGCCCCTCCTTTCTGGCCTGCAAACTTTCTTTTGAGAAATCAGCTAATGGTCTTATGGGAGCTCCTTTGTAGGTAACTAATTCTTTCCTCTTGCTGCTTTGAAGATTTTCTCTTTGTCTTTAACTTTTTGCACTTTGATGATGTGTCTTGGTGTAGACCTCTTTGGGTTCATTTTGTTTGGGACTCTCTGTGCTTCCTGGACTTGTATGTCTGTCTTCTTCACCAAGTTAGGGAAGTTTTCTGTCATTTTTTTTTTTTTCAAATACGTTTTCAATTTCTTGCTCTCTCTCTTCTCCTTCTGGCACCCCAATGATGTGAATGTTGATACACTTGAAGTTGTCCCAGAGGCTCCTTATGCTGTTCTCATTTTCTTGAATTCTTATCTTTTTGCTGTTCTGATTGGGTGTTTTTTGCTTCCTAATATTCCAATTCAATGGTTTGCTTCTTGGCTTCACCTACTCTACTATTGAATCAGTATAAATTATTCTTTACTTCAGTTAGTGCATCCTTAATTTCTGACTGGTCCTTTTTTATGTTGTTGATGTTCTCACTCAGTTCCTTGAAGGTCTGCTTAAGTTCCTTGAAGGTCTCATTAAGTTCCTTGAAGGTCTCGTTAAGTTCCTTGAGCATCCTTATAACCAGTGTTTTGATCTCTACATCTGATTGATTGCTTATCTCCATTTTGTTTAGTTCTTTTCCTAGAATTTTGTTCTGCTCTTTCACTTGGGACATGTTTCTTTGTCTCCTCATTTTGGCTGCTTCCCTGTGTTTATTTCTATGTATTAGGTAGAGTTGCTATGTCTCCTAGGCTTCCTAGGGTGGCCTATTGTTGTAGGTGTCCTGTAGTGTCCAGTGGCACAACCTCCCTGATCACCCCAGCTGGGCTCTCAAGGTGCACCCCCTAGTGTGGACTGTACACCCTTCTGTTGTAATTGAGTCTTGGTTGATGTTGGTCCATAATTGGAAGGGATTTATTCAGGCTGATCAGCTGCAAGGAATGGCTGTGCCCACTGGCCACTGGCCTCTGACTACCTTGCAGGATCAGCTATGTAGGGGCCCAAAACACAGAGCAAGACTTACTTCAACAGGGCTCTGGTACCCACTGAGTACACCCCTTGAGTGTGTCACGTGTGGAGGTGGTTAGGTGGTGGTGGTTCGATGTGGTCTGAAGGTGTCCACTGGATGTGCTGGCTCTGGGGTAAGGTCAGCCTCTGCCTGTGTTCTACCTGGGGCCACCCAGAATAAACCACAAAGTGATCTGCAGGTGGCCGCTTCTTGTGCTGGACTTGGAGGTGCCCAGGAAAAGCCAAGTTGTGAACCAAGGCTGGCTGCTTCTAGGGCCAGACCTGGGGCCACGTAACAAGAGGTATGGGGCTCATTGAGGCCAGATGCTGCTTGTTTGAAATATTTTAGGAAAATCTGAAGCAGGATCCAAGACAGGCCAATCCTATGGTAAAGACACTGGAAACAGCTTGGGGGGTCCAAAGGTGGGGTGGGGCAGGGCTTCAGGGAATCACCAGGGTGGGGCAAACACTGTGAGCCAGGTTCCTGGAGTCCCAGATATGGCGGCCATCTGTTGTCCCAGAGAAAGACTCACTAAAGGAACAATGATGTCCCACAGCAAGTCTGTCCAGGAGAAAGCTGCCTCTCCAGATCTCTCCCCAATACCGAACAATTCAGTTCTTCCCCATATGTTTCTGGTGCCTTTCAAGTTGCCTCCCCAACATTGGAGCCCAGAGGGAGTGGGTCCGAGTAAGTCCGTGTGTGGGCCCTTTAAGAAGAACTGCCTGGGATTCCAGAAGACTCAGTCTCCCTCAGCCTCTGTTCCTGCTGGTTTTTACAGCCAGAAGTGATGGGGATTCTCTTCCTGGTACTGGAACTCTGAGCTGGATGTCTGATGTGGGACGGGGACCCCTCACTCCTCAGGGAGGACCTTCTCAGCTGATGCAACCTCCTGATTTTTATCCGCTACACATGGGTGTGGGACCAGCAGGTCCACCCCTCTGCCCCTCCATCCCTCCTACCAGTCTCCATGTGGCCTCTTCTTTAAGTTTGTAGTTGTAGGACTTTCATTCAGCTTGATATCAGGTGGTTCTGAATGATGGTTGTTCTGTAGTTTAGTTGTAATTTTGATGTGGTTGTGGAAGGAGGCTAGGACTGCGTTTACCTACACCGCCATCTTGACTGAAAGTCCCTCTTCATATACTTTTCAAGTGTCACAAATTATTATTTTGATCTCTTTTCCATCAATTAGGAGTGTGCAAACCATTCTTAATTCAGGGGCCAAAAATAGGCAGTGGGCTGAATTTGGCCTGTGGGCCATAGTTCACTGATTCTTGTGCTATAACATCAATTCCAGGGATAATTGTATCCTTGATTCACTGCTGTATCCTCAGCATCTAGAACAGTGCCTGGCACCTAGTAGGCTCTCAATAAATGTTTCTGAAGTGAGCAAGTAAATGAAACAATAAGTTTGGTAGCAAGTTACTGAAGTGGGGAAGTGAGCAAACATATGGGAGTCAACTCAGTACTACTCTCGGGGCCTCAGTTTACCCCTGTCTGAACCTAAGCAGGCTCCACCAAGAAGTCTTAGAAAAAAATCAGAAGGCTGAGGCCAGAGCTGCAACTCAGAATCTTTATTCTTATTCTCCCCCTTTAACTTGAGGGTAATCTTGACAAACAGATTCTGCCAGGAGGAGGCAGAAAGAATTGGGCTGGGCAGGGGCTCCCCAAGGACCTGGCATCCTCCTCCTCCTGTCGGGTTGGTGTTAGGACCATGATCCAAGCTCAGCATCCCTGGGGAGGACAGTGGACCACTCTGCAGCCTCTGTGGCCCCCTACCTCCAATAGCCATGTTAATGGGAACCAGCCATCTTCATACACCAGGCAGGAGGGACCTGGGAGAGTGGCCCCATCTGTCTCTACACACACACAGGCGCATGTACCCAGGAGTCTGGCTGGAGAAAGGCATGGTCAGTGTCCAGACACATGGCTCTGGCCTGTGGCCCAGTTGAAAAATATGAAGCCTAGACTGATCGCCATGAAGAGGACCCCCAAGACACCAAAGCACAGAGCCTATGGACAAGAGGGAGAGAAGATGAGACTGGATAGGTCACCACAGTGGAGCTCCTCCTGAGAATGTTCTTCAGGCCCTCCATTTCTGACCCTCCTTTGTGCTCTCTCGTTCCTTAAACCAGCCCGTTCCTGTGAATCTTCCATCTTCCTAGAACCCTATACAGAGTACTCTCCTCCATCTTCTTTGAAAGTTCTGACTTTTAATAAAGCACCTTCCATCTAGAGAATGGTCCCTCTATGCCAGCCCTTCATTGAGTGCCCCCTCTGTCTTCTCAGACCCTGCTGGTGCTCTGTTTACTCAGCCCCTTCCTAAGACAATCTCCTTCATTCTTTTAGACTATCTCTCTCTAGATGCATCCTCTTCTCCCAAGCCTCTCTTGAAAATGTTCCTTCTATCTCTAGCCATCTTGGAGTGCTCTCTCTTCAGAACACCCCCTTTTCCCCCAGCCCTCCCCTGAAAAGTTCACCTGGATCTTGGGCCAGGAAGAGAGGGGCTCCACTTCAGAGGGTACAATGCAGAGGTAGAAGACACTGGGAAGGATGAAGATGAGGCTGGGGGCTGAGGTGGACCCTGGAGGACAAGCAGGAGAAATAGGAGTCAATGTAAGTTTAAGGTACAAGGCCCACATTAGATGGAGACTAACTGGTACTAACCGATAACCCCAAAGATATCCCGGATGGTCGGCACGTAGATGACAAGGACATTGACAAAGACAAGCAGGATCAGGGCTATGGCCACATGCCGTGGCCAGCTGAAGGCTTTGCTTGGGAAGAGCAGCTGCTGCAGGGCCCGGCGGATCTGTAGGCACAGTAGGGTGGGACACAGTCAGGGCCCAAATGCTGCCTCCCCCTCCTTGTGGTCATCTGTCTTTGCCTCCACCCTCTGCCTGAGATCCCTGATTTCCCCTTCATCTGACTGTCTCCACCCTATCTGACCATCCATCTGTTCCTCCAATTTCTGAATGAGCATCCACCTCACTCTGATAAGCCATGCTTTTTCCTTCTGATTGTCCATCTATGTCTCTACCCACTGTCTGAAATCTTTGCCTCCTCCTCTATCTTACTATCTCTGCCTCCTCTTGTCTGACCACCTACTTGTCCTTCCATCCTGTTTAAGATCCTTGCCTCTTTTCATCTGACTAACTCTATCTCCTTACTCTGTCTAGTAATTTTACTTCCCCATCTGAGAGCCTTGTCCCTCCTACACCTTACTACTTCTGCCTCCACCCTTTTTCTGTCCATCCCTGTTTCTTTATTCTGACTGTTGATCTATGACTCTACCCTCTGTCTGACTATTCTTGCTTTCCTCTCCTGTCTAGCTAGACATCTGTGCCTCCTTCCTCCAACTCCTACCTCTGTCCTCCTGACTCTCTCTGTCCTGCCTTCTATGCCCCCTTCTTTATGACCATCTATTCTTGCCTTCCCTGTCCATCTGACTATTCTGCCTTCTCTGTCTGTCCATCACTGCCTCCTCCATCCATCCATTCATCCACACCTATCCCCAACATCCATCCAAACATCTATGCCTATGCCCTCTACCCATCCATCCATGTCCCTCTGCTCCATGGGCCCCTTTTGCCCCCCTCCCCCCCCCGTACAGGGAACAGCACAACTGGCACAGTGAGAGTCACCGCGAGCAGCACTGCCAGGCGCACACAGAGGATAAGCAGGTCCTTCTGGCTGTACATTTGTAGCATCTCTGCCTCCACGCTGCCTGGGACATGGGACATGGAACATGGGATGCTGGATATGGCAAGAGAACCAGGACCAGTGTTCACACACACACACACACACACACACACACACACACTCTAACAAAATCTACATGTATGATACATACCATTCCTTTGGAAACTGATGGGTCTGAAGGCATGGAGAGAGAGTGCTCAGGCTCCTGCCCCAACAGTCTTCCTCATCCCCACCCCAGCTCCCACCCAACCCTGGCTCCAACTCCACTCACTGTAGAAGGTGAGGTATCCAAAGGTGGCCGTAAGCCCATACATGCAGAACATGGCACCGATGGACACATTGGCCACAGCCTGCATTCTGCGCTTGGAGGGCCTAAGGTATAGAGGTCATGGAATTGTAATGCCCATACCCCTGGACTTGGTCCAGGCCCCTCAAAACTAGCCTTCACCCTCCAGAGTCTCTTCTCCCAGAACTGACACTCATCTGGTACACACTGGGATTCCCATCTCTCCCTCCCCTGTGTGACTAGCCAAGCCTCCCCTCTCTGTCTATCCATATCTCACCCATATGACCATCGTTGCCCATCTCCTCTGTCTGAAAATCTCTGCCTCTACCTTCCATTTGGCTGTCACTGCTCCTCCCTTTCATCTGACCATCCACACCTAATTACCCACACTTCCCCCATCATGTCATCCTTGACACCCCCCCTTTGTCCAGTCATAACCCCATCCATCTGACCATTCCTGTCATGCATGCCACCCCCTTCATCTGATCATCTCTGCTGCCCCACTCTATCCATTCACACCTGTATTGGATGTTAAAAGAGTAAAATACTTAAGTCCTAATCAGTAAACAGTCACTTCCCTGTATCTCCCAAGGCCTCCTGGCCACCTCGAACCCCTCTCTTGGCACAATCTACAATCAACAATCAAGTTACAGTCCCAGAAATGCTGTAAGAATTATCAAACATTATGACTATCACCCCACCTGTTGACTCACCACACATGCCCACTTGCCTGCAGAGCTCTGTGTAGATGGGCAGCACTTCAGGGTGGCAGACAAAGGCAAAAGCCATAATGGGCACTGTGTAGAACATCTGGGGGAATGGCCCAAGTACATGAGGTTAGAGCCTACAGGGTTCCATCCTCTCCTCTCCATCCCCCTGGCCCTACCGTGGCTCTCCATATCAGACACTTGGAAGCCCCAATGTCCAATACATGGCTCCACTCCAAGAAAAGCATACTGTGTAACAGGACCAGAGGCCTGAATGTGGTGGAAGCCCTATCGGCCTGTACACCCACCTGTGAGTCCACTGTGAACATCTGGGCTTCACAGCTTCTGTTCAGCCCCTGGATGGGAAGATCTAGGGGGCTCTTACTCTCTGCTGCTGTCTCATTGAAGCTCACAGCACAGCCAAGCTGGAACTTCTTATAGATGACCTGAGGGTGGGAGGGTGGGAGGGTAAGGAAATGAGGTTATAGGGAAGGCTGTGTCCCAATGTCCCAAACTCTCCACTTTTTCAAGTCCTTCCCTCAGACTCACTGAAATGAGGAAAAACAGCATGCAGGTCAGGGAAAGACCACTGGTATACCCCAGGTAGCCTGCAAGGGGCAATAACACATGAGACTCAGAAATCCAGGGACACCCCTACAGCAAATATTAAATCTCCAGTCTGGCCTTCAAGACACCCTCAAGCCAATTATGCTACACTATTGCATAAACTTGTAATTCTTCCTGGACCAGCCTCCCCTCCAGAGCAAATGCCTACTGAGTAAACTCCTATTCATCTGTTAAAGCCCACATCAAAATCTCCCCTAGCGTTCAACAGCCCTTGAAATTCAGGATTCTCTCAATCTGGCTCCCCATCTCTAATGCCACTATCCAATGACCAATGCAGGAAGCCTCTTACCCAAGTGTCTCATGAGGGCCAGTGGCAGGATGATTAACACACTGACAATGATGATGAGGAGGTTTCCGTTCAAGAACCAGCTCCTAGGGAGACAGGCACATATAGTGACTAGCTGCCTGCCAAAAAGAATTGTCAGGCAGATATCCATAGAAGCCAGCTGGACAGACATTTCTGCCCGTAATCAAGAGAGATGAGCCAACACCCCAGTTTGTGAGAAGTCATTCAGGTGGTTAAAGTGATGGCACAACAAGATGGACAGAAACAGCCAGACTTATTACCAGACTATCAGTCAGACACTGTCAGAGGGATACATCTGAGAACACATGCACAGCTAGACAAAACTGTGCTGTCAGACTCACAAGTGAACATGCAACCAGATGGACAAACAACACCCCAAGTCAGTCACACTCACATAGTCCAACACAAGGTGCCAGACACAGAGTGAGCCACGACCCTGGTGTCTGACAGGTAGAACACTCTGATGATCAGGCAACGATGCAGTCAGACAAAAAGTCAGAAATGCACATGTGTGGTTGTTCAAACAGCTTACAGTCTGTTGAACACCTGAAAGTAGTTAGGCCAATTTGGCCACATGGTCGACAGAAATAGAGACCGTGTGAATCAGCCAGCTGGAACCAAGCTCAGAGAAACAGTGAGATCTGTACAGATATTGCAGGGAGGTGCTCAGGCAAAACAGTCAGTTAACATTTGTTTGAAAAAATGTTATTGAGTGCCTACTATCCATCTTATACACACAGTTACACAGAAATAAACCAACGAAACATCATTGGCTATATACACAGTGGGAGCTAATTATAATAATTACACTCAGCTAGGCACATAGACTGCCAGCTACCTGGATGGTTTCAGAATCAAACCAAAAATCTAACAAGATACACAAAGTCATATACAAACTGGACAGATGCAGCCAGAAGATGAATCCAAAATCAAAAATGCAGTCATCTGGATGCATACTCAAAACAACAATTAAACACGCATGGTTGGAACAATACAAAGGACATGTATGGTCGTAGTTGAGGATCACACACACACACACAGCCAGAGAGAATTTGCTAGAACAATGGTCACTAGCCCTGGCCGGTTTGGCTCAGTGGTTAGAGCATCGGCCTGCGGTCCAGAGAGACCCGGGTTCGGTTCCCGCTAAAGGCGTGTACCTCGGTTGCAGTTTGTCCCCAGCCCTGGTTGGGTTGTGGGGTGGCAACCACTTGATGTGTCCCTTTCACGTCGATGTTTCTCTCTCTCTCTCCCTCCCACTCTATCTGAACAAAAAATTGAAAAATGTCCTCGGGTGAGGATAACAAAAAAAAGAACAATGGTCACTAAATTAAACAGGGATGGAGTCTACTGGCACATACAGTTGGAGCAAATCACATATATGTAGTTGGCACCACAGTACACAGCACACACATACACCCACATCATTGGAGTCAGTGACCACACACTTATAGTGAGACAGATTCAGCCAGCCTGATGGGCCCAGAATTAAACAGAATCTGCTGGACAGGGAAAGTCAGAGTAAACAAATGTCAAACACACATGGTTGGAGTCATAGTACACAGGACACAGCTGTAGTTGGCCATAATACAGCTGGCCAGAGAACCTGCCAGTACAACAGTCACAGAAGCAAAACCCACAGACAGAGTTTAGATCTACTGGAGAGTAGTCGCATGATCAGTACACTGAACATACAGATTCAGCCACCAGACGGAATCAGCCAGAACACCAGTCACAGAAATCAACACATGGTCTGCTAGTATCCTATAGTCAGAGCAACAGTCACATATACTGCTGACATCACAATACACAGGAATCATAGTCTGACCAAAGTGGCCTGCCCAACCGTCTCAAAGTAGAACATTTGGGACACAAAGCTGAAGACAGCAGCCAGACCTGACAGGTAGAGTCAGTGGCCTGTGAACTAGAGCCAAGGAGTGTTACTCACTCACCCCTCAGGGTCCATGTACAGGAGGGTGCCAATAACCAGGGGGAGTTCGGATTTGATGATGAACAGGTAACTGGACATGGCTGGTGCGGGTGAGTGGAGGTGTAAGCAAAAGGATTACCCTCGTCACCCTACCCCATTTTCCACAGCCCAGCCTAGGGAATCCCACCTCATCCCACCCTCTTCCCCCAAGCTGATCCCCACACCTCCCAGAGTCCTCACCCCCAACATTGTGCAGACAGATGACTGCAGCCACCACTATCTTCCCCACAGGCCCCAGCGCCCTCTGTCCCAGCTGCTCATAGGCTCGGATGCCTGTGGAGATGGGGAACAGGAAGGAACAGGTTGTGGTCCAGGAAGCCAGGCCAGGGGTGAGATGAGGGGAAGAGGGTCTGGGAGCTAGAGAGTTGGGGCTTGGAGTAATTGAGTCTGATTGATGGGGGTGAGGGGTGAGAGTTAAGCAGTTAGGATTGGGCTTAGAGGTGGAATCTGGGAGGTGGGACCTGTGGCCAGGAACTGTGGCCAAGGAGAAGGCTGGAGGTGGGCTGGAGGTGGGTAGTGGGGGTCTTGGGAGCAAATCACATATACATGGTCTGAGACCACATACACATTGTCTGAGACCATGGCAGGAGTGAAGTCTGAGATCTGGGGCAGTGGAAGCTTGGAAGCTGGGGCCTAAGGACTGGAGGTCTCAAGGTTGTGGGATCTGGCTTTCATGGTTGTGGGGGCTAGAGACTGAAGGGAGGGGTTAGAGATGAAGTATAGTGGTCTGGGGATAGGGAGGGTCTAAACAATGGAATTTATGGCCAGACTGAGGGGTGAGGGGTGAGGATTGGGAACTGGGGATCTGGGAGCCCAGATGAGGTCTGAGGACTAGGGTACAGTCTGAGGTCTGGAGTCCAGGGAATTAAGTGTGGGGTCTGGGGTCCTGGGTCTAGGATCTGGAGTCAGGGTGGTATGTCCAGAGTCTGGGGTTTGGGTTGAAGTCTGGGGTCTCAGGTCAGGGGAATGAGTCAGGGGTCTGGATTTAGCTCTGGGGCTCACCTACAACACCAGCACAGGTCAGCAGGAGATGGATGGAGTATGAGGACAGAAGAGCAATGCACAGCAGCAGGGCTCTGTGGCAGATGGCACAACTCAGACTTGGCCCTTAGGCCTCCCACCTTCCCCCAAACACCCCTGTCCCCTACAGGCTGCCTAGGACTCACAGGAAGAAGAGGACACCTGTGTGGGCCATGGCGTAGGCCAGCCCCAGGATGCCGCTGCCCATGATGGCGTTGCTGAGGTTGAACACTGACATTCCAAACGACGTCTTCCCCTCGAACTGTGGGTAAGGGACAAGGCCCAGGAACACATGGGGAGGGGGTCAGGTAAGGAGACCAGTTCCGGGGCCCAGGAAAGACTAGGGAGGAAGTGACTGGGCCAGGAAGAAGCCCAGGAAGGGCCAGAGGAGAAACCAAGAAGTTAGGAAGAAAAAGGAGTTGGAGACAGGAAGAAGCTGGGAAAGGAAGAGCCAGGAAGGGAAAAACTAGGAGAAATTTTAGAGGGGAGCATCTATAAGTGGAGAGAAACAGGAGATGGTGGAGCAGCTACCAACGTAAGAGATGGGAGGGGAGTAGCTGGAGATAAGGAACAGCTGGGGGAGGGGAGTAGCTGTTGCTGAGGAGCAGCGGGGGCAGTAAAAACTAGGCCATGGAACAGTTGGGGAGGAGGAGGAGGAATAGCGTGAAGAGAGAAGAGTAGGGGAGGAGATGAACTGGCAAGGTGCAGCTGGGACAGATCCTATAGGGTCACTCACATCCATGAACTGGGCTTGCTTCCTTCCAGGAGCAGGACTATGGCTGGGCAGGAAGCCCTCGCGTTCCTGCCTGTAGTTGGAGAGGGCAGAGAAATCTGGGCTGATGAGAGGGTAATCCTGACCCCCTGACCTTGACCCATTGGGCCCTGACTCACTTTGCAGCACCCGAAGGTAGGGCTCCATTCATCTTTGGATCCTGCAGTTCCATCCTGTGGGCAGAGAAATGGGGTGGGGGCCAGAGATGAAGCAGGGAGGACTACAAAATGGGAGAGCTAGGTGAAGGCATAGGGGTTCAGACAGAGACAGACAGAGAAACAGAAACAGAGATGAGGCAAGTGGAACAGGAACAGAGGAATGATAGACAAGGAATAAATGAAGAGAATCGAAGGTAAGAGCGAGAGGCTGAGGTGGGTACCTGAAATATCAGGGGGATCATTTTGTATGATTGTCTAACCACTATGCTGTACACCTGAAACTAACATAAAATAATATTGAATGTAAACTATAATTGTAAAATAAATTTTTTTAAAAAAGTGAGGCTGAGAGAGGAAGAGATGAGAGAAAGAAAAGGATATCAGAGAGGGAAAGATATCAACAGTTACTCAGACATGGAGAGATAAATAGAGGGGGGAGACAGAAGGAAAGAGAGAAACCAACCCCACAGCAGATGGCCATTTGGAGTTGCGATAGCCTCTCCTCCCAGACCTCAGACTTACTCTGTCTTCCTGCTGTCTCTTTCCTTCCCAGGTCTCCAGTACACCCCACCCCCACCCCCAATTCCCTTCACTCTCACCATGTGGCCAGGTCTCTGCTCCTTACAGGGACACATGTTGGCTGACTGCCCCACCTCTCATAATACCTCCTACACCCCTCCTTCCCGCCTGGGCCCCAAGCCTGGGCCCCAAGCCGAGCCCAGAGCTGATGCAACCTGTTCACTGGGCAGGGGGTGGGGACTGGCTTCGAGACCCCAGCCCCTGACGCTGCAAACTCTCTGCCATAACTCTGAATATCCTCACTAGAGGCCAGAGACAATTCCCCAACTGAGTCCCCTCTAGGGACAGAAGTGACCCAGGCACCCACCCTTATTCCCCCTTTTAGGGACCAGAGGTATTTTCTAGGTCCCCTGTCAAGTCTTAAACACTCTCCTTCTGGCAGAAGTAACTGTAGAGACGCTTCTAGACTTGAGATACTTCCTGGGCTTGGGGTGTCTAAGGAATCTGACTTGATCCCTAATTTCCCCTCCTGAGGAGTAGCTGTCTCTGGGACCCTCATCAGAAACCCCCTCCAGGACCTGATGTGTTTCTGGGGGTGGGGGGTGTCTCTGTGACCCCCAGGCCAACATACAGTCCCTGTATTCTGCATGGAATGTCTCTGAAGAATCCTTCAGCCCTGAGCTCACTTCCTGCACATGCAGTAGCCCACAAACCCCCATTTTAGACCCCCATCGTTGCTAAAACTGCCTCCAGGAGATCCCCATCCCAAGCCCTGAGTCCCCCTCCTGGGGCAGGGAGGGCTCTCATGGAGCCCCATCCTCAGCCATGAGCACCCTCTGAGGACTCCTACCCACTCCTGAATTCACTTCCTGGGAGCAACGTACCGAAGGACTCCCCTTCCCATTCAATTCCCCACTAGTGCTAGAAAGGTCCCCAGGGAACCCCTGAGTCCCCTCCCAGGATCCCTACTTGTGCCTTGGGGTCTCCAAAGCCCCCGCCCCAGCCAGCGTTCCCTCCTCACCTCCCTGCTCTTCTCAGCTGCAGAAGCGGCAGAACTAGGACTAGGGCTGGGGTACCCCACCGCCTCCTGCTCACTGGACCCTGCCCGCCCTGCTCGGTGGCCAATCAGCACCGAGGCGCCTGCTCAGTAGCTAATCAGCACAGCCCGCGCCTCATCTGGCCCGCGGATTTTTTTTTTTCTGGGAAGAAGTTTTCATTTTAATTCAGTTTCCCTCCTTCTGGCTCTGGGAGGGGGAAGTAGTAGGGAAAGGTGGGCACCCTCTTCATCTGGACCCACCTGGAGGGAGACTGAGGTGTGTGTGCATGTGTGTGTGTGTGTGTGTGTGTGTGTGTGTGTGCGCGCGCGCGCTTGCTCGTCTTGATTGTGGGGGGGGGGGGTGGACCGAAAAATTGAGGGAGTAGGTCCACACCCGGAGAGAGGGCTAGGCAGGCAGAGAGAACTGACTCGGGGGTCAGCCACACAGTGGGATGGAGAGAAATTATGCAGAGAGAGAGACAGAGATAGTAGGAGAAACAGTCACAAATAGACAGGCAGGCACAAGGACAAACTACAAAGAGGACAAAGATAGATAGGGTGTGGAGGAGTGGTACACAGGCAGAGGGGCATTCAGGGGGAGAAAGAGACTACAGCCAGATTCAGAAACAAACAAGGGGTCAGCCCATGCAAGCACCTGGAGGAAGGCAACAGGCAGTCAGGTCCAGTAATAAACAGGAGACACAACTGACAGATAGGTGACCACAACCAGACACATCCCCAAACAGAGGTTGGGAACAGACACATCAGCCCAGAGAGACAAGGGGACACAGGGAGTGATGGAGGCAGAGAGACACCTGGAGGGACAATGACAACAGGCAGAGAAAGTCTGATTCAGGCAGAGAGGCAAACAGGGTAGATAGACAGACCTGGGGACAGCAGTGGGAAAAGTGCAGGGATAGACAGACACAGCCAGGCCACTATAAGCTGACCTCAGACACATAACCTAGCCAAGAGAGGACCCTAGATCTTGAAGGTCCCCAGAGAAAGGTGGGGAAGACATTTGTGGTTGGATGGGGAGTGTGGACACACACTGTCTGCAAACTAGGCACGCCCTGAAGTCCTGGACCCAGCCCAGGCATTGGGTGGGGCCTGTCCACACCCTAACTGAGGAGCTCCACTGTCTGTCTGCCTGTCCAATATGGGGGTTTGTCTGTTCACTCCCATTCAGGCATGTGACAGGATGTCTGTCTGAAGTAAGGCATATGTCTCCTGCAGGGAGTCAGGTGGGGTGGACTTCGGGTTCTGGCCCAACTCTACTGGGCTGCTTGAGGCCCAGGTGGACAAGAGGCCTCTGCCCACCCCCCACAGGGAGCACAGAATTACCAGAAAGGCCAGGGGCTGGCTGGGGTTCAGAACTAGCCTAGATGCTTCTACCCCACTTGCAGTTGAAGGAGGGCAAGGGATGGGGCATTTACTTCCCACCAGCAGGAGAGAGACTCCCCCAAACTCAGGGATGACAGCTCCATCCAGGGACTCGGAGATGGAGGCAGATTTGTCATCCCCCACAGAAATACAAACTTGCATGCAGACCCGCAGGCACACACACAGGATATATGCTGATAAATATGTATACACACAGACTGCACACCGAAAGCCCAGGCCATGGAAGTCACACTCACAACCCCACAGAGTGACCTAGTCTTACAGACATCATCTTCAGACCACATCCAGAAAGCATGGAGTGTCACAGGGACAGGCTCACACCAAGCCACTATAGATTCATGGACATCATCACTCACAGACTCACAGCCACATACAAAGTGCACAGACAAATCTGGTTTCACACAGCCAAGAACATCATACACAGGCCCAGTGTCTCCCACACACACTTCCAGTTTTAGAGGGCCCTGGAGGCCAAAGTCCAGATTCAGGCTCTATAATGATACCTCTGTGCATGTGAACTCAGGTGTGAACTTGTGACCACATCTAGCTCTGGTCACAGAGAGAGGTACTCAAAGCAGACATGATTGTATAGACAGAGAAGCTGCAGCCACGGATAGGCACATAACTACCTTCAAGCAGATAGCTGTACACAGCCGTGTATACATACAACTATTGACAAATGAAGTCAGAAGAAACACGTGGGAAATGCATGGACAGGCACACAACCAGGAAAACCAGAATATAGAGTGCTGTTCCCACTGTTACAAAAAAGGAAATCCAGAAAATACACCTAAAGCTGCATAAAGAAGAAACATATACAGTGGCACCAGAAGAAACACCCATGGGGCCCTGGCTGAATAGTTCAGTTGGTTAGAACATCATCCTGATACACCAAGGTTGCGGGTTCCATCCTTGGTCAGGGCACATACAATAATCAACCAATGAATGCATAAATAAAGTGGAACAACAAATTGATATTTCTCTCTCTCACACACAAATCAATAAATTTTTTAAAAAGAACAACAAAAAATAAACACCCATAGAGCACACATAACCACAGCCAACCACTCACCAAGAAGAGACAGAAGTACAGTGGCAGAAAAGAAAGACACACAAAGGAGACACACACACACACACATACACACAGGAGAGACACACTAACCACCTACAAGCATTACAAAGGAAACACATAAACATTCAAGGAATACATACACACATGCACAGCCCCATATAGATGGATTGCTTGAGCAAACAGTACCAACACACAGAGGTGCCAAGAAAGAAACACGAATTGGACAGTCAGCCATAGACACAAGATACAACCTTGGTAAGTTACATAGGAAGGCACGTGGAGCTCACATATGTACGTTTCTGCCTGAGAACATATATAGGCAGATGAGATGCTTTTGGGGTACTCACACACACACACACACACACACACACACACTCCCCTGTCTATCCTGGCCTACTCTGATGTCTCCTCTGATACTCGCCCCTCCCCAGAGCCATTACACAGCTGTGCTACAGGCAGGCCAGGGAAAGAAACACCTGTCAGCAGAGACCTTGGCCCAGATGGCGAAGGGGGCGGAGAGCTAGGCAGCTGTCTAGATTTCAAGAAAAGTCTGAAGTGTCCTGTCCAAAGAACTAGTGTACCTTGGACACACACACACACACAAAAAAAAAAAAAACACATACCGCCCTGGCCAGTTTGCTCAGTGGTTAGAGCAGCAGTTCTCAACCTGGGGGTCGAATGACCCTTCCACAGGGGTCGCCTAAGACCATCGGAAAACACATATTTCCGATGGCGATCCATAACAGTAGCAAAATTACAGTTATGAAGTAACAACAAAAATAATTTTATGGTTGGGGGTCACCACAACATGAGGAACTGTATTAAACAATCGCAGCATTAGGAAGGTTGAGAAGCGCTGGGTTAGAGTGTCAGCCTGCGGACCAGAGAGTCCCGGGTTCGGTTCCCAATAAGGGCACGTTCCTCGGATGCAGTTTGTCCCCAGCCCTGGTTGGGGTCGTGTGAGTGGCAACCACTAGATGTGTCTCTCTCACATCAATATTTCCCTCTCTCTCTTCTCCCCTCTCTCCCTCCCTCTCATCCTGAAGATAAAATGCAAAAAAAAAAAAAAAAAAAAAAAACCATACCCCCATTGGCCACCTCCCCACAGCAGCTTCCTGCTCTGATCACTCTCCTCCCCTCCCCTCCCTTCCTGGCCCTGCAACACTGCCAGCACAGGACCACCAGGCACACAGCAGGTGCTCAATAAATGCCACATATTAAGTGTCATATTATCCTTATTATTTTGTTATTTCTGCCAAGTGAACTCTTCTAGGAGAGCAACTAACCTTCATCCAGCTCTATAGCAGGTGCTCAATATATGCTAGTAGGAGGAAAAACAAAAGGCAAGTGAAATCTGGCTGCAGAGGGAAGCCTGATTTGGAAGGAACAGATGTCTTTAAACTTGACCTAGGTATTAAGGCTGTATCAGGAATAAGGATGCTTTATTAGTTCATCACTGTAGGGCCCTTTCTCAGGGTCATTTAAGGGTTTTTGTTGGTTCAGGAAAACAGACCCTTGGGCGACATTTGGAATTCCCATTAAGTCTCTTAAAAGTCAATTTGGGTTCTTATCAGTTCTTCCATGCAGACCCCTGCTTTTCATTAAAACAGGTCACTACTCAGCAGCCTTCAGGCGAGGGAGTGACAGAGCGAGGGAGTGACAGAGCAGCTTCCCCAGCTCTGCCACTTTCTAGCTGTGTGGCCAGGAGCAAGTTCTGAAACCTGACAGTTTCAGCTTCCCCCAGGGCATGATAATGCCTAGGGCCATTGGTAAGGTTGAATGAATACAGTTTAATCACTTAGAACAATGCTTGACACACAGTAATTACTCAATAACATATTTGTGAAAGGAATTAGTGAATTCTACTCTGCTGTGAAAGCAGCCCCTCGCTGGCTGCATTTAGGATTCTAATCTCCCCTTTCAAGCAGGCCTCCCAATGAGTAATTCTTTGGTCCCTCAAAGCAGCCCTAGGGCAGCAAGGCTTTGGAGTCAGTGTCTAGTCCCCTACACCTAGACCACCCATGTTCTTTCCCTGGCAGCTTTCCTTCCTTGACCTCTTCAGGAGACCATGGAGAGGACACCTTTACACTCAGTGGGGTTTCGGATGGGAGCTGCAGGCTGACACCCTAGGAAGAGCCTGGGGAGTTCAGAACCTGGTTCCTGTCCTCCAATACCCTGGCCCTGCTGGAGGAAAGTTTCTTTGTAAAAAAAAAAAAAAAAAAAAAAAAATTAAACATCCTCTTTGTGAGAGGCAAGAAAACAGGACGAGAGAAGCATCCCACAGGGTGAACATAGGTTCCCAGTGCCTGGCGCCCCCTCCTCTCAGTGGAGCAGTGGCTGGTGGCTGGAACACCTGCTTTCTCACACTTGCTCAATTCTGCGGGCAGCAGTGTTCCCACCCCACCCCCAAGGCCCTTTTGAGCTCCCCTGACAAGCTCTTCCTTCTTCCCTGGCTCTCAGGGCCTCCAAGAGGTGTCTTTCCATGTCTCTGTGTATGCCTGTCATCTGTCTACACCTCCCAGAGCCCCACATAAATGCAGAACACACCACTGAGGAAAGAACGAAGGAAAAAAGTAACAAAAGGGTGGATTCAGCAAATATCTACCTAACACCCACTGTGTGCCAGGCCCTATTCTACGTGCTCAGGAGGTAGCAGTGAACACGAAAGAACAGAAATCCCAGTCTAGTGAAGCTCATATTTCTAAGGAATGATAAATCAATCGTTCATTTCTTTGAATACTCACCAAGCTTGTTCCCACTTCAGGATCTTTGCACTTGGTATTCCAACTGCCTGGAATGCTCTTCCTCCAAATACTGGCAGGGTGTGCTTTCCTTCAGGTCTCAGCTCAAATGTCGCCTCCTCAGAGACTTCCCTGACACATAACTGAAATAGCAACTCAATCCCTCTCTTACTCTTCGTCCTTTTCACCCTACCTTATTATTCTTTATAGCTTTTACACCATCTGATATAACATTATGTATTTACATATTTAATTGTACATTTATATTTAGTACAGTTACTTTAGTAAGTAAATGTATATAGATACTAGCATATTTATATACAGCATATGCACTTATATATTATAAGATAATACATATATTTTATATATACACTATACAAAATGCATATATATTATATATTTTCTTATATTTACATATAGTAGAAAGTTTATATGTATTATATTTGATTAATAATATGTAATTTATATACTAGTAAATATATATAACTATATTTCTATATAATCACATACATACCAAATAGTATATATGTTTATATACCTAATAGATAGATTTGAGGACAGGTGGTCTTCAAATAATGCCTTTTGTTCAATGTTGTTTTGCTATACCATTGATGAGAAAATATCAATTCCTAGCCAGGGCCATTATGTAGAGTTCAAATGTTCTCCCCATGTCTGCATGGGTGTTCTCCAGGGACTCCAGTGTCCTCCCACATCCCAAAGATATCCACACTAGGTGAATTGGCATGTCTAAACTGTCCCAATCTGAATGAGTGTGGGTGTGTATGTGTGTCCTGTAACAGAAGGGCATTCTGTCCAGAGTTGGGTCCAACCTTCCACCCTGAGCTGTCAAGATAGGCTCTGGCCACCCATGATCCTGAACTGGGATAAACAGGTTAGAAAATAAGCTTACTTGTTTTTATTACTCTTTCTTAAGTGTATGCATAGCTCACATTTATTTCGATGTTTAATATTAGAAGTGTTTTGAGTATTTATTTTAAAAGTTTGCTGTAGGAATTTAATTCTTGTTCTATCAATTAGCCTATGGTAAAATTGGTTTCCTTCATTATACATCATTTTGTTTAAAGTCCCAGTTTCCAAAACACATCTACAATGTTAACGGTGGACTTACTAGATATCCTCCCCTTGTCTCCATTTCCTCATCTATAAATTGGGGATAATTACAGTAACTACCTCATGTAGTTGTTGTAAGGATTAAAATAAGTTCAAGGAAAGAATTCAACAGTGCGCTGGAGCCTACTTATATAGGTTTGCAGATTGCTTGTTCAGTTTTCAGGAATTTTTTGAACTGGTTGTTGAACACAGATTCTATTAAAAATAAAATAAGCCCAGCTGGTGTGGCCCAGTGAACTGAACCATCATCCTGTGCGATGTTTCTATCTCTCCCTCTCCCTTCCACTCTCTCTAAAAGAAATCAATAAAAACATTTTTAAAATAATTTAAAAACAAAATAAAATGGCCTTGACTGGTTTGGCTCAGTGGTTAGAGTGTCGGCGTGCGGACCAGAGAGTCCTGGGTTTGGTTCCCGCTAAGGGCGTGTACCTTGGTTGCAGTTTGTCCGTGGCCCCGTTGGGGTTGTGTATGTGGCAACCAGTTGATGTGTCTCTCTCACATGGATGTTTTTTTCTCTCTCTCCCTCCAGCTCTATCTGAATATGAATGCAAAAATGTCCTCAGGTGAGGATTAAAAAATAAATAAATAAAATAAAAGGATATAAACTTATAATTAAATAAATTAGATTTCTAAAAGGTTATACATACTCAAAACGCATCACTTCCTTATTTTACTACATTTTACTATTCTCTGTGCCCTTGAGGTCATTTACTCCTATTTTAACTGTATGGTATAAATATTACATAATGGTGTACTACTGCATCTCTCCTGTGTTCAATGACTACATATTGGTAACTTGAAATCTAGTAAGATGATCCTGTGTAAATGTTTGAAATCAGGGCTTCCTCCCCCGCTCCCCTCAAAGAGTTTGTTGTTAAACATTTACCAGTACACCGTTGAGAGCACTTACAATAGTGCCTGGCACATGGTGAACTGTATAATAAATGTCTCCATTATATTTGGTTTTGCACTGGGTGGGGATGTATAGGGTGTTTTTTGTGGGTCAGAATTAAAAATGTTTGAGGAATAGGGAATTGCACAAAGCCAGTTGGTGGTCATGCCCCAGGCCTGTAACTTCTTTAGTGAAAGATTTTAAGCCAGCCCTGTCCATCGTTCTTGTGCATCTAGGTTAACATATCTTTGAAATATCAGAAAGAAGTAATACCCTTCAAAAGGGGTATTAACCCTCAAGAGAGCACATAATGTTAACTATTCTGTAATACAATCCCTGCCTTGCTTTCTTCCATGTACGTTTTCTCCTTAATTTTAAATGGATAAAAGAAGCTGCAAAACTATTATCCTCAAGAGCATTTAGATCTTGTTCCCCAGCAAATGTCGCCGGTTTGGCTGAAATAAACTCTCATAAAATCCCTATAGGTTTGGACATTTCTTACGTGGACACGTATTTATTCCTCCCAATAACTGTGAAATATGTAGTACTTAGTATCCCCATTTCACAGATGGCGAAACTGAGGTTCTACAATGGTACAGTTCAGGCAGCAATGTCACACTGGGGAAGTGAAATTCAAAATTGCAGCCGAGCGTGCTAAGGCACTTTAACCCACATTCCTTCCTCTCCTGTTCACCACCCCAGCCCTAATTTCACCTCGCAGTACTCCTAAAATGATTGGGTGCTGTTGTGTTCGTTGCATTTTGGGAAATGTAGTCCACAAACTCAATGAACACCGCCACCCAGGAAGGGAGGGGCGGGGAGTAAATCCATCTTAGCCTTGGGACCAAAGAACAGGGCCAGTTTTTGTCCCTTGTGATATTTCAGCTACGCATGCGCGAGTTCAGCAGCTTTGGTCATGCCCGTTGCATGCTGGGAACCGCAATTCTCCCGACCAGCTACGTCGACACAAGGTGACGGGACACGCGCCGTAAGTTCGGGTCAGGTCTGGACCCCGCGCGAGGCTCCGTATTCCGCGGTGACAGGCGCGCCCCGCTGCAGCAGCCCGTAGGCGTGCGCGAAAGGCATTTGGATCAACTAAGAACAGGACCTGAAGCCCTAAGATTTCTCACCGGTTTGTCTCGGGCTACTGGCGGACCAGGCTCCTTCGTCCCGCATCTCCCCACTCCGAAAGCTACGGTAGGCCCTGGGGCACGGAGGACGTGGGTCCAGGCCGAGACGGTTGAGGCACGACCGCGCTGTCCCGCCAGCGAGGGAAGGAGGACAGCGACGTAGTCTGGCCGGCTAACACCCAGGAGGCTGCAGACAAGGTTTGTGTGTGGAAGGGGACTACTATTGGAGGGTAGCTGGGAGAGGCAGGGGTCCAGGTGTCAGCGGAGCGGCCTTGAGGGGGATCTGAAGGCGCCAGTAGGAATATGGTCTTTGAGTTAATGTAGAAGAGGGAACAGGGGTGTGGCCAGAGGGCTGTTAATGGGGTGGGGGGAGGCGAGAGTGTACGGAGGTCTGGTGGGGCTATTATGGGAGAAATACTAGAGGCTAATAATGGTCGACATGTTCGTGGGGGCCAGTAGGGGTGTGTTCATTGATTAATGAGGTGGTAGAGTAAGCAACTAGAAGATAATGGGAGACATATGGGGGTGAGATCCCTGAGGGATTGATGGAGGTACAATCTCAACAGGTTAATGAAGACTGGTGGGGCATAGTAATCAAAAGGATAATGGTGAGACTACGGAGGGAATAACAGAGGTGGGTGGGGGTCATGATCAAGGAACTAATGGAAGCAGTGATCAAAGAAGAAAGAATGAGAGGTGGAAGAGGTGTTGTAGTCAAAAGCTTTTAACGGATGATCATGGAATGATCATTGAGAAATTAATGGTAACAGTGAGCAAAGGTAGGGTAATAGTAAGGTGTTGGGAGGTGATCATCAAGTGATTATTGGGGGGTAAGGTGGGAAGTGAGGGGAGAATGGAAACTGATCATCCAGGATTAACATGAGTGTGGTAACAAAGGAATTACAGGGCACTAATGGTGTGATCTATGAGGAATCAGTTGGCGGGCTGAGTTCATGGGGGCTGATAAATCATTAATTGATAGCTTAATGGGAGCTAATAGGCCATGATCCTCCAGGCATTAATGGGGGTTGATAACAATGTAGTAATAAAGGAATTACTGGGAACCTAATTATTTCAGGGATTAATAGGGAATGGGGCAGGGAGAGAGAGGTTAAGGGGATGGGGAGTACAGTGAGGTAGTATTAAGATAATGGGGATGAAAGCAAGGAATTAATGGAGGTGCTAATGGGGCTATATAAATCTAGGGGCAATGAGGACAGCTGGGGAGCCAGTGAGATGTCGATGGGGATAAGGTGAGCAGAAAAGGGTTGATAGAGTTGTAGGGTTTAATATGTGGAGTGTAGGTGACAGCAGTGGAGGTTGGCAGGGTCATTAATAAATAAATAAATAAATGGGTCATCTATGAGATAAGTGCTGGGTTTGGGGAACCTGTGGGGTGTGTGATGGGTTCTGTGGGGGTTCTTGTGGGGTGAGTGGTGGAGCCTGAGAGTTCAGTTCTGGAGTTCAAGCTCTGTGAGGTCAATGGGGTCAGTGACTGGGCTTCAGTCTTCCAATCTGCTGAGTGAGCTGTCATGTGGGTCAGGTGAGCCCAGCATGGCTTGTGTGGTTTGTTCACTACCCTACAGAGGTAGGTGGTGGCCCACTCACCCAGTTAATTGATCAGGGTGGCATCAACTTACTGTTGGCAGGTCCCTGGGCAAACAGTTTGTGAGATGGGAAGGACGTCAAAGGACAAGCGGGATGTTTACTACCGCCTGGCCAAGGAGAATGGCTGGCGTGCCCGCAGTGCCTTCAAGCTGCTACAACTCAATGAGGAATTCCAACTCTTCCAAGGTGCTTACCTGGTGGGCGAGTCACTGGGGGACAGGGCAGGCACAGGGAACAGACAAGTGAGCTAGGTCTTTAGAGTGATCTGTGGTCGGTGGGCTAACTTCGAGAGTCTGTGGGGCAGGGGCCAGGCAGGAAGATGTGCAGATACTCAAGAGGATTTGGGCCCCTTGGCAGCAGATAGATGTGGGTGCTCCCCAGGGAAGAGAAATGAATTTTGCAGGGTCTCTGGGTTGGAGAGGTAGGTGCAACTGACACTACACCTTCCTGTGTGTGCTCAGGTGTGACACGGGCAGTTGACCTGTGTGCAGCCCCAGGCAGCTGGAGCCAGGTGCTGAGCCAGAAGATTGGGTGAGTGTAGAGTCCCAGATTGCAGGGGGGCGGGCAGGCTAGGTGTGGGGTGGGCCGGGAGTGAAAACTGGGCTGACATGGGCTGTGTTGTCCACAGGGGCCAGGGTTCCGGCCATGTGGTGGCTGTGGACCTTCAGGCTATGGCTCCACTACCAGGTGTGTTACAGATCCAGGGGGACATCACCCAGGTAAGAGCATGGCTGGGGGTGTTGAGGTGTTTCCAGGGTGAAGATCCCCCCACCTAGGGGCTATAGAAAGTGGAAGAGACAGAGAACCAGACTGAGAAAGACAGACAGAGGTAGAGTAACTGAGATAGTATAATAGAGAAACAGAGCCAGCAGGTTGTCATCCCAGAGATGGCAAAAAATTATGGGACTGGGTCTCCAGAGATGGAGTATGGTCTTAGACAGGCAAAGCCTGAGCATTTGGCTGACCCAGGGCCTATGGGCCAGGGCCATGGGCAGGTGGGGTTAGATGTCCACAGCGTGGGGAAACCTTGGGGCCACTCATCCACCCTCTCTTCCATAGCTGTCTACTGCCAAGGAGATCATCCGGCACTTTGAGGGCTGCCCTGCGGACCTAGTGGTGTGTGACGGGGCTCCTGATGGTAAACATGGGTCGGAAGGCCAGGTTGGGAGTCCCATGTGTGTCCTTTCTGTATCTCCCATTTTGTTGGCTTATTTCACCACTTCAACTCCCTGCCTCTCCTCCTCTATCAGCTGTTTCCCACATCTGGCAACTTCTCTCTACCCTGCTGCCTACTCTCTGCCTCTGTCTTCTACCTCCTCACACTCTACCACTTCAGTTTTGTCTTTTGTCCACCCTTCCCTCTTCTCATATCTCATCTCTCTTCTCTCTGCAGCTCTCCAGTCTATCTTACTGCCCATTCATTTTTGTCAGTCATTCATTCAGCACACATTTACAGAGCACTTACTGGGTGTCGGGCACTGTTCTACATGTTAGGAAAACATTTGTGAAAAAATTCCACTAATCTCTGACTTCATAGAACTGATGTTCTAGTGGGAACAGATGGAAAAGAAACATGATTGAGCTCTGTAGCATATCAAAAAGTGATAGGTACCATGGGGAAATCAATAAAAAGGGGAGAGAGGTGGGGAGTACCTGTTGGAATGTTAAATAAAATGGATGGGGAAGCCCTCACTGAATTTAGCGCAAAGACCTAAAGGTGAGAAAGTGGGCCAGGGGCATGCCTGGAGGAAGAACAATCCAGGCAAAGGGACCAGCCTGTGCAAAGGCCCTGAGGTGGGAGGGTACTTAGCATGTGGGAACACCAGTGTGGAGATCAGTGTGGTTGAATCAGAGTGAGTGAGGGGGATAGTGATAGAAAGTGAGGTCAGCGAGGTGACAGAGGACAGATCCTTGTGTGGATCCTTATGGGCCACAGTGAGGACTTTGGCTTTTTCACTGAAATGAGAACTTAAAGAAAACCATGAGAGAGCTATGAGTAGTGGAGGGCCATGTCTAATTCTGGGTTGTGACAGAATCCCTCTGGCTGTTGTGAGCAGCATGAGGGGTGAGGATGGAAGCCAGGGGCCTGAGTAGGAGGAGGCCACTGCAGTAGTCCAGATAACTGATGACAGTAGTGATGAGAAGAGGGTCAGTTCAGGAGATCTTTTGAAAGTAGAGCCGAGGAGAGAATGGACCTTGTCAAAAGTAACTAAGGTTTTTGGTCTGAACAACTGGAAAGATCAAATGAGATGGGGAAGATGGTGGGAGGAGTAGGTTTGAGCAGGAAGGTCAGGAGTTAGTTTTGGACGGTTCAAGTCTGAGATGTCAAGTCTGATCTGAGTCTGGAGCTAAGAATCTGGACTAGAGGTAGAAATGATGATAAAAAGGATTGCAGATAAGATTACTTTTTGAGAATTAAAATGAGCTCCGAAGGGATAGAAGCTCAGAATGTGCATCTAGTTGACAGATATTAATTTGCATGCAGAACCTTAGCAATAAGAGAGCCCGGGAAATGTTTTTAGCCTTCTAACCTCTCTGGGACAAGAAGATAGCTAGAACTGGATGGCCCCCCTAATGCCGTTCCTCTTGCCGCAGTAACTGGCCTCCATGATGTTGATGAGTATATGCAGGCCCAGCTTCTCCTAGCCGTGAGTAACCCTGGCTGCCCCTGCCTCAGTTTGGCCCCTTCTTGGCTATCTCCACCTCAACCTTAACTATCTGTCCTGCCCACAGGCTCTGAACATTGCTACACATGTCTTGAAACCAGGGGGCTGCTTTGTAGCCAAGGTAAGCCTTGGGAAATCTGGTGAGGGACAGAGATGGGTCCCTGAGGGTTGCCCTCATGCCTCCATCTCTGCCTCCCTACCCTGCAGATCTTCCGAGGCCGGGACGTGACGCTGATCTACAGCCAGTTGCGTGTCTTCTTCTCTAGTGTGCTCTGTGCCAAGCCTAGGAGCAGCCGGAACTCCAGCATTGGTCAGTGGTGTGGAGGAGCTGGGCAGGCGATGCAAATTTCAGGGACCTATCCTGCCCCAGGGCGGAGGTGACAGTCACCCCTCACTCTACCTTTCACCCACAGAGGCCTTCGCTGTCTGTCAGGGTTATGACCCCCCTGAGGGCTTCCTGCCGGACCTGACCAAACCCCTGCTGGACCACTCTTACGGTGAGAGCCAGAGCCCTGGGCCCTGTCCCTGGGGAGACTCTGCCCCTTGTGGAATTTATGTCTCAGGGGAGCTCTCAGCCCCACCCCCTGGTAGACTCTGTTCCTTATGGGAATTCTGTAGAGGATCTTCAGCCCCACCCTCTGATGGAAACCCTCCTCCACATATGGATATTATATTCCAGGAGGATCTTCAGCCCAGTCCCCTAGTGGTAACTCTTGGCCCTGGTGAAATTCTGTCCCAGGAGGGTCCTGATTTCTGCCCCAGCAAAGATACCCACCTAAGGAGATTATAGCCTAGGAAGATTCAGTCACACCCCCAGGTGGAAACCCTACCCATGTGGGAATTTTGCTCTATGAGGTTCTTTCGCCTGGTTTTTAGTGGGAAAAGGCACAGAGCCTGCCCGTGCAGGGAGCATAACTGAGTGACAAGGTCCAGGCTATATATGATAAAAAGGCAGGGGGACATAATAGAGTAGTGCAAAAACAAAGCAGTGGGAGGCAATGTTTTAGAAGGGGTGATTATGGAGGGTCTCCCTAAGAAGGTGATCTGAACCAAATGAAGGCTCTTCAGTGGAGGAGCATGAAAGTAGCTGGTGCATATGTGGGAAGGCCTCGGTACCCTTGCTACAGAGTCATGACTGGTCCCAGGCATCCCAGCCCTGTCCTGTCTTATTTCTCCCTGTTTGTCAGATCCAGATTTCAACCAATTGGATGGTCCCACCCGAATCATTGTGCCATTTGTGACCTGTGGGGACCTGAGTGCCTATGATTCAGACCGCAGTTACCCACTGGACGTGAGTACCCAGCCAATAATAAGCAGGAGGTGGGGGTGGGGCACTCTCCTGGGTTCCCAGGTTCTCACCATCTTCCCGCCATGTGTCCCTGCAGCTGGAGGATGGCTCAGAGTACAAGTATACTCCACCCACACAGCCCCCCATCTCACCACCATACCAAGAGGCCTGCACATTGAAGAAGAAGGGGCGGCTGGCCAAGGAGATCCGCCCCCAGGACTGCCCCATTAGCACAGTGGACACATTGTCCCAGCCCCTGGCTGCCCTACAGCGCCACACCCTGATGGCCTCTGAGGTCTGGAAATATGTTGATCAGGGCCCCCTGCTGTGCTCTTTCTCTGCGCCCACAGTGACCCCTCCCAGTACTCCTCTTTCTGCCTCCAAATCATGGGGTTTCTGAGGTCAAAATTCTCTTCCAATAGCTATAAAAATCAATGGGTAAAACTAAGTATAATGAATGGAAAAGCTTAACCAAGTGTCTGAGTCCCTTTTCTTTTTCTTGAGTAGGTGGAAGACAGTGAATTGAATTGTCCACCTTAACACATTAAGGTAAGTCTGCCTGTGTATTTAAGAGTTTGAGTAAAGGACACTTTAAGAAAAAGATCAGTAAAATTTCACCTTTGACATTTTTACATCAACTGATAAGATTTCAGTCAGCAAACCTTTATTAAGCATCTGATGTTGTATGTCAGGAACTGCTGTAAGCATTTTATATATTACATATAGAGGCATTCAGTAAACATTATTAAGCCCACACTGTGTGCTAGACATTGTTCTAAGTTTGGAGGTAGAGTAGAGAAAACAGGCAAACATCATGGCCCTTGTAGAACTTCTAGATTGGGGAAAAAGTAATAAACAATAACACAGTCTGAATGCAGGAGTTCCCCTCCACACACACACATGTATATACACACACTTGCATTTCACTATGTATTTATATAACTTGCATTATAATATATGTGTGTATGTATATAGATATGTATTTTATATCTACTATGTAAAACTAATATTGAATATGAAAAAATTTAAATAAAGCAGGGTAAAGAGAATCAGGAGTTCTGGGGGGGGCAGTGTGCACTTTTAAAACGTGTTGTCATGGAAGGCCTCACTGAAGTAATGTTTGAGCAGAGACCTGAAGGAAATAAGGGAGGGAATCCATGTATTTATCTAGGGGAGAGCATTCCAGGGAGAGGAAATAGCAAATGCAAAGGCCCTGAGGTGGTACTGTGCCTGGTGTGTGAGGGAGCAATGAGGGGCCGATTGACCTGGGCTAAACCTGTCAGTGTTGGAGGGTTTCTTATCCTCAGGACCTTATGTTAGGGGACATCCCTTTCTGACAATGGTTTATAAATGAGTACTAGAATTTTCTAGCTGGCACTGTTTGTAGTACCCCCAAACTAGAAATAGCCCAAACATCCATCAACTATAGAATGGATCATTAAATCATGGTATATTCACAGTGGAGAAGAATTGGCAATGAGAATGAACATCCTACAATTATGTGAAATAATACCCTATTATTACTCATTAAATGGAACATATCTATGTTTTATGTATTTTTCTGTATGTCACTGTTTACAATAAAAGTAGGGAAGAAACTTTACAAAAATGTTAGTAGCCAAATGAACATGATTAAGTAGAAGAAAGTGGGGAAGTACATTTTTGTTTAAAACTTTTTCTTTGACCTTTTAATAGCTGGAAGTCTAAGACAATTCAGAAGCTGCTTGCTGTCAGGAGACCAGAACTTGCTCTAATGAACTTGTTTTTCAAATGTCTCATCAATGGGTTCTGAACACAAGCCCAGAGTGGGAACCTACAACAACCACCATGAACACAGCCAGGAAAGAAACATTACAGAAAGTTTGTCTGAACTGCAGAACGGGTTCTTGAGTGAGATCTTGCCTCTTCTCTAAATCTTTCCAGGGATATCCATGAACTTGACAGAGGAAAATATTACATCTTTATTTTCACTAATATAACTGAAATTTAGGTTTATTCCTAAATATGAATTCTAGCAGTAAATCATCATGAAAGCAGTGCCTGTGGCTTTCCCGCCAAATCAAAGCAAATCAGCTCATTTTTATGGTAGGGTTACTGCAGGCATGAAATATTGTTCACATTCGTCACTACTTGGAATTAGGGAAGATCTTATCATCTGATCTACTAATAAAAACCATATATCACAGCATCCCAATGTTGTTTCGTTTTAATACAGATGATCATAGAGTGTATACTGTGAAATGATCGCCACAGTAAGTTTAGTTAACATTTATCACCTCACATAGTTAAATTTTTTTTCCTCTGATGGGAATTTTTAATATCTACTCTTGGCAACTTTCAAATACACAAAACCATATTATTAATTATAGTCACCATGCTGTACAATATATCCCCATGGTCTCTGTTTCTGAGTTCATTTTTTTAAGATTCTATATATAAGTGAAATCATACGGTATTTGTCTTTGTCTGACTTATCTCCCTAACCCTAACCCTCGAGGTCCATCCATATTGTCACAAATGGCAGGATTTTATTTTATTTTTTTATATGTTTTTATTGATTTTTTTAGAAAGAGAGAGAGAGAAACATTGATGTGAGAGATATATCCATCGGCTGCCTCCTGCACAGCCCCTACTGGGGATGGAGCCCACAACCCAGGCATGTGCCCTGACCAGGAATTGAATCAGGGCCTCTCAGTCCATGGGACAACGCTCAGTCCACTGAGCCATGCAGGATTTTATTTTTTATGGTTGTACATTCTAGCAATCAGTTCTTAGGAGTGGAGTTGGCATACATGCAGCTTTACTGTTTCATTGTATGTACACACCACATTTTCTGTATTCATCCATCTGTCGACAAACACTTAGGTTGTTTCCATATCTTGTCTGTTTTGAATAATGCTGCTGTGAACATAGGGGTGCAGATATCTCTTTGAGATAGTGACTTCATCTCCTTTGGATAAATGCCCAGAAGTGGGATTGCTGGATCATATGGTAGTTCTATTTACCTTTTTGAGGAACCTCTGTACTGATCAATTGGTTTCGTAGTAATCCTTTGTATCTGAGTGTCTTTTTGCATGTGCATGTTTTTAAAAATATTCTGTTAAGAGGTCCACAGATTTAACCAGATGCCAAAGGTTCCACAGAACAAATTTTATGTTAAAATTCCTCTTAAAGAAATGTCAGATAGCCTGTCTTGACTGCAGTCTTGAATTTCTACAGTTTAGCAAACAGGAGTTGACAAACTCACCAGCTACCCGGGCAGAACCGGTTTCTGCAACTCACTCCCATATCTTTAGAAACTCACATTCTCTGTCCACACCCCAGTCCAGTGACCTCAGGACTCCCTACATCACAGTCTGTGACCCTAAGTGTTTCTGTACGTGACTGTATGACCCTAGAAGTGTCCATACCAAGTCTGTAACCCTTGGGTTGGAGGTGGAGGCTGCACAGCACAGCACAGAGGCCCCAGGAGTGTACACACTCCAGTTTCTGTCACCCCAGGAGTTTCCAGGAACATAAACAAAAGTCTTTGGGACCCCGCAAGTGTACTCATCTCAGGCTGTGTGTCCCTAGTTGTTCTGCCCCCATCTGTGTGACATCAAAAGTATACACATGTAAGTCACTGTGATAGGAGCAATGTCTAATCCCCAATCTATGTGACACAGTGGTGTCTACACCCCTGAGAGTGGCCCACAAGGGGTCAGCCTATCCTAGGCTGTCTCTAACCTCAGGAGCACCCCTCTCCATCTGTCCCACCCTGATTGTGGATGCCCTAATCTCGTGACTCCAGGAGTGTCCACACCCCTCTTTGTGACTTCAGAATTTTCCACATCAAAGTCAGTTTGTCCACTGAGGTACATATTACCTCAGACTGTATGTCCTCAGTGGAGTACTTTAGTCTGAGTGACTCCTGGAGTGTTTCCACTGCTGTCTGTGATGACAGGAATGTTTATTTTCCAGTGTGTGTGGCCCCAGGTTTTTCATGACCCAGTCTGTGTCATCACAAATGTGTACATGTCCCAGTCAGTTTGACCACAGGTTTGTCAATTCTTTAAACTGCATAGAAATAATGGGTGTCCATTCCCCAGTCTTTGTGACCTGAGGGGTTACCATACCCTAGTCATTATCACCCTACAGGGGTGTCTACAATACAGTCTGTCACCACAGGAGTTGGGGTGTCTGTGTGACACCTGAAGAATTCAGAACGCAGTCTGGTGACCTCATGAGTGTCCATATCCCAGTTTGTGACCACAGAGTTGTGAAAACTTCAGTCTGTTTGACCCCAGGGATGCTCACTGCCAAATGTGTCAGTCTGTGGTACTACCCACACCCCAATCTGGTTGACCTCACCAATGGCCATGTGTCGGCCTTTGCCACCACAGGAGTGCCCATCCCCTCCGTGTGACCCTAAGAGTCTCCAGACCCTAATGCATATCCTCAGGGAAGCATACCCAAAAGTCTGTGTTACTACAGAATTAATACCCCAGTCTGTCACTGTGGGCTTCCTACCTCCCAGTCAGTGTTCTTTAGGAATGAGCATATCTCAGACCATGAAACACCAGGTGTAGCCACACCCCAGTCTATGTAACCCCAGGAGGGCCCACAGCCAACTTGTGTTTCCAGAAGTATCTACACAATAGTCTGTCTGTATAACCACAGGATAATCAACTTTCTGTGTGACTACAAGAAAGGCCACCACCCAGTCTGTGTGTCCCCAGAGTTGAACACCCTTGGCTGTATAACTTCCAGGATTTTTATACCACAGACTATGATCAAAGAAGCCTCCATGCCCCAGGCTCTGTGACCACCAGGGTGTCACTCCCCAGTCTGCAACTCCAGAATTTTCCACCTGATGTGGGACCAAGGAGTGGCCACATTCAGTCTCTGTGGCCCCAGAATTGTTCACTGCATTGTCTGTGTGACCATGAGAATGTCCATTTCCTAGTCTGTGTGACCCTAGGAGTAGCTGAACTCCATTTTGTGTGATGCCAGGAGTGTCCACATCCCAAACAATGTGAGCAAAGCGATCTACACTCCAGTACTTGTGACCACAAATGTCTCTCCCCCATGTCCCTATGGCCCCAGATGGGTCCAGCAAATTTTACCCTGGTTGTATCCACATAACAGTTAGACCATGAAAACATCCACAGCCCAGCCCGTGTAACCTCAGGAGTGTCTGCCCCATGTTCGCAGAGTCAGAAGTGGCAACAGCTTAGAGTGTGTGATTGCAGGAGTTTCCTCCCCAGAATCTCAGTGGTGCCCGAGTGCGTGCATCTCAAACTGGCTGATCACAGAGGTGTCCACACTACAGTCTGGGTGACACGCAGGTGTCCACAGATCAGCCTGTGACGTTCTAGGAGTGGTTTTGGCCTAGTCCAGTCACCTCAAGAGTATCTACTCCCCAACCTCTGTGGCCCCAGGAGTATCCACATCTAAGTTTTTGCAACAGAATCCATGTCTACTCCCAAATGCATGTGACCCCAGTGGTATTCAAACCCCACACTCTCTGACACAGTGTGTGTATACCCCAGTCTCTGTGGCCCCAAGAGAGTGTACCCTGTCAGTGTGACCACAGCAGTATGAAAGTCCCATATCTGTGACTATTGGAGGGTTCACACTCCAGTCCAGGTGGCCCAGGGGAGGACACTCCCCCATCTGTGTGACCAAAGGAGTCTCTACACCACAGTGTCTGTGACCACAGGGGTGTCGATCCCCCATTCAGTGTGACTGGAGGAGTCCCCACACCAAATTCTGCATGACTACATGAGTTTCCACCCCCTATCTGCATGTCCTGAGAGGTGTCTCTGCTCCAGTTGGTGTGACACCAACAGAGTTCACACCACAAACAGTATGACTATAGGGTTGTCCATAGTCGAGCCTGTGATAATCCAGGAGCATCCATGCCACAGTCATTTGACCACAGTAGTGTCTACTTCCCATTTTACATATCCTCAGTCATGTCCTTGCCCCAGTCTGTGGTACTCCAGGAGTGTGCAGACCCCAGACTTTGTGGCTGAGGGTGTCCAAAGTTGAGCCTGTATGAACCCAGGAGATAACAGATCATAGTCTGTGTGACCCCAGGAGTGTCCACACACCAATCTACAGTACCCTAAGAGAACACATCCTAGTCTGTGACACTTCATGAGTGGCTGCATCCCATTGTGTATGACTCAGCCATGTCCACATTCCAATCTGTGTGACCCCTAGAGCCTCCATACCCTGGTGTGTGACCCCAGGAGTGTCAAAACCTAGCCTCTGTGACCCCAGGAGGGTAATACCCCAATCAGTGTGACCCCAGGATTGCTTATGCTAAAATATGACCTCATGGGTATCTACACTCTCATTTGTTTGATCCCAGAAGTGTCCATATCACAGATAGTGTGACCCTGGGAGGATCCATACACCAGTCAGTGTGACACCAAAAGGGGTTATGTCTGGAGGAAGAATGATCTAGATAGAGGGAATAGTCTGTGCAAAGGCCCTGAGGCAGGATTGTGGCTGGCACATTTGAGGAACAGCGAGGAGACTAGTGTGGTGGGAGCAGAGTGAGTGAGAATGCCAGTGGCAGGAGGTTAGATGAGAGAGGTGATGGGGGCTTGGTCCTGTAGGGCTTTGTGGGCCAAGGGGAGAACTTTGACTTTTTTTTTCTGAGAGAAATGGAGCCATGGCAGGGATCTGAGCAGAGGAGAGCTGTGAGCTGGGTCATAACAGGACCCTCTGAATGCTGTGAGGACAGACTGAAGTCCTTAAATCAGATCATAGATCAGGCTGAGCCATGGAGGGAAGGGGTCCCAGAGGCCAGCACCATAACCACTTGACAGGCCTCCCCAAGGAGCTATGCATGCTCTCTGGGGCATATGAAAGCCCTTCTCCTATCCCCCAGAAACACAGCATATGTGGGGAGAAGCTATGGGGGATGAGTGAAAATGACCTCATTGTGGGACCTCAGGCCAACCCTCCCTTTCCCTGGGCCCCGAGCTCCCCCTTTGGCAGATGAGTTTAATAATTCTTGCCCTGCCAATCTCTCCAGCATCTCTATCTGCCTATCCTTTCCAAACACGTCAACCTCCTTGACGTTCCTGTAATATACCAATCATTATCCTACCTCAGGGCCTTTGCACCTACTGTTCCTCCTCTGCTTGGACACTCTTCCCAAGATATGTACATAGTTCACATTACA